AATCAGTACTTTCTTTCCTTGATCCTGTTCATCAATGGAGGGTAAAAGTGCTGAAAATGAAGAAATACTTTACAACAAATAGAATACCTGCTGTGATGCTCTAAATAGAAAACCAGGAACACAGAAATAAAAGTTTACAGATGGTTGTATGAAGACGTTACCTTGAGTTAATTTTAAGACAAAATAGGAAATACAGAATAACGATATGGGAAGCTTCAAGTTATCAATAATTGTTAAAAAGCTAAGTCCAGCATAAGTAACTAATGAAAATGTTTACATCTCTGGCTCTACACAATTACAAGGTCTTCCAAATAAAAGACAATAACAATGTGAATGCCATATAGTGGTTTTGCAATTGGTAAGCATGTCTTTCAAGAGACAACTTTTTATCTACCCTGCTACCTAAGGTAAACAGCTGTATTCAATGGTAACCTGTGATTCTGCATTCTACATTTGGGGTTCTAAACCAGAAATACCAAAACAAGGTCTGATGTTCAGAAAGTGTTGAATAACCACACACTATGGAAACCAAGCACCTTTAATAACAGTGCTGAGTCTCAAAATTTATGCAAAAAATACTAGACGAGATATTAAAATCACAAACACTATTTCAGGGTTTAAGTAGGCAAAACCAAAAATGGCAGTAGTAGCCTAAATTTCATTTAGAGCAGCTATTCAAACAAAAGGTAGAGAAGAAGTGTTATCCAAAGAAAACAAATTTAATCAGTTCAGACAATCATGTTTCACAATCCTTAAAATACATACTTAAACTAGAAACATAAGCCACTGATAATACAGTCAGAATATAATAGTGAAGAAGAGCACTGCCACAACAAGAGCTCCCAACAATACTTTCCGTAACTTGAATCAGGTTTCCTGGCCCTTTCTCTGGTTACCTAGGCTAGAAATACTATCAGCTTCCCCTTCCAAAGAGGAAGCTCAAAATCCTAAGAAAGTAGAGGGTGAAAGACTTGCCAAAGCCTAAATTTAAGTTTTGGGGGTGTTTTCCATTCCTTACAAATTTAAAATTTAGCATGAAATATTCTTCTCTTAATGCTCCAGATTTGAAGAACTGTGGGTAATTTATCTGCAATAGGTATCACTTCCAATATGAGATTCTATCTTCTTTCAGGTCTCTATGAAATTTTCTTATACGTTTTGCAACACATGCATAAACTTTTAATTTTGGTCTTTCAACGTACAGCATGGAGGCAAACGTTAAAGTCTTCCAGTCTTTAGAGGCACAGTTTCGTTCCCATCCCTTTCCAAGATGCTGAGGAGCCCCATCTGCTGGTAGAAGTGTTACTCTAGAGAATTACACCCCTGAGCTGATAACTGATTTTTTTCAACTGTACCACTTGATAACTGTTTGGGTATTTTTAAATGCAGCCATACACAAAAAATTAAGAGCAAATACTTTTAATGATAAATATGAAATCCTCTGAAATAGTGCATTCCTTCCTAAAGATGCAAGATATTTATACAAACTGCTTCAGATGATCTTTCCTGACACAAGGCTGTTCTTCAGTCAACACAAACTGAAAACATCAACTCATTTTTTGCAAACATTTTAATATGACTTACACTGATTCATAAAGAAGATCGTAAAGTGCATATTGGTTAATCTGGGAGAACATAACAGGAAGACTGTTCTTTTCCCCTGATTTAAACAAGATACATACACACACTTAAAAAGTAAGAAACCACATAATCAGTTCTATATATACATTTTAGATATATCCCGTATGATATGGATGATTTAGTCATAGTAATTTAGATGGGAATAAATAAATTAAGATCACTAAACTAAGATAACTAAACCAAGTATTTCTTCCTCTCTATGCCAAAAAAAAAAAAAAAAAAAAAAAAAAAAAATTTTCCCCAAAAGGGAAATTTCCCTCTATTTCCAAAAAAAAAAAAAAAAAAAAAAAAGAAAATCTTTCCCAGAAAGGGAAATTCTTAATTTGTGATGAAAAATCTAAGAGGAAAATATTTAAGCACATAAGAACAGATAAGAGATGCAAAACTGGCTAAATACTACAAAAATTGCATATGACTATAGATCTTTTGATTTAAGCACAACTTAAACTACCACAGTCAGTCAGATCTGCTTAGACAGAACTCTCAGTTCTGAGAAATCTCCACTAATATTGGACTCTTCAACAGATAAATGTTTTAATGCATAGGCCAAATGCAAGGACTGAATCCAAGATATTTACACATAAAAATATTCAGTTACGGTTATTCACATGACTAACTGAAAGTATATAGTTTTGAGGCTTTAGATTGCCTACTCTCTCTGATCATACAGGGATTTTAGGCTTCTGACTGTGCTCCGAGTTTTATCCGAATCTGATGCTCAAAGTAAATAGTGCAAATGTCCTGAGTGTCTGCATATTCCATTAAAGGGAAATTTTTAGAGACCATGCTTCCACTGCCTGGATTTAAACTAGCAATTCCAAGCAGGTGTTTTTGGAAAAAAACAACAAAACAGGTAAGCTGTGGGAAGGTACAGGATCGGAAAAAAATAGTACATCTACATCTGCATTTTCAATCAGTTGTTTTACGCTTACACCAGAAAATGGAGAACTTCAGGCAATGATAGACAGCCAAAAAATCCCCAGAAGATAAGCTACTGCTGTCATAGTCACTAGAGATTTATGGGCTCATGACCCTAGAAAGTTAGCGAAATTAGTTTCATACCATCAAGTCAATACTTAATCTAACCGTGCCCTCTACTGGCCTGAGAGGTACTTGTGTAAAGGTGCAAACTTTAAAGATGCTACTGCTCATAGTGCTATAGGTTTTGATTTCATTAAGAAATAACAGTAAGAATCATTCACAGGTATTTCTCTACAGGCTACCTTCCAAAATATGGAATTGTGCTTTAATATACTTTGTATACATTATTACTTTATTAATGTTTTAGACTCGCATTCTCTGAAGCGTTGCCAACATTAACAGACTCTAATTACATTGAACTTCCATGGTTTGGGGCACCTAAAGCAATTAGATTTCTTCAAAAACCAGCTTTACTGTTAAAGATTGCTTCTAATCAGAGGTGGTAACACTACTTCAGAAAAATAAAGTAATCTTTCTTTCTGCCTAGAAGACATAACAGACAGGCTATTATTTCCATTTTTTTAATAATTTTACATTGCAATAACAGCTTTGATTTTTTAGATTGTTTTACCAAATTTAACACATCCATTATTTCACTCATCAGTAAAATAAGGCTCTAAGACAGTAAACAAACATTAAGCATATGATGTGACAGTTTAAGACAAAAAGTCAAATTCAGACATATTAAAGTCAGAGGTGCATATACTTTTGTACAATCTGAATTTAAATTGCTGCTTACCAAAGACATCCACATCAGCACTGTTTGCATACCTTAGTCTTCTCCTTCTAAGTCTGCTCTTCAAGTAGCAGCCAATATTTAACTTATTCAATTTATTAAAGAACACTTGCAAAGAAAACCAAAGGTACTTTTTTCTTCCATCTAATCTTCAAGACAAAGATGTAAAAAAAGCTTGGGAAAGAAGATGAAGGAAGAATTACCCACAGTTCAAAGTATTTAGACTTTGATGATGTGACAGGTTATGCTGACTATAGAACCAGTGAAGTTATAACTTAAAAGAATAAAAGATAAGCAATTGAGAGGAGTAAATTTTATTCATGCTATAGATCTGGGGTTTTCTCTTCCATGAGCACCAGTGCTTTAATAGACATTGGGAGAAAAAAGCAAAACTCAGTCCAAGATTCAAGAACATCACTGCTTTGAAGACGCAAAGTCAGCACATACTTCACAGGGCCCCATGGCAAAACTGGGGAAAGTGGGAAGGAAAAAAAAATTCCAAGATAAGAAAAATCATACAAAAGCCAAATGAAACTCAATTCTCCACCACAAATTAAACAGCAAGAGTTAAAAAAAAAAAAAAACAAACTCAATTTTAGTAAGAGAATTTAGGAATATTTTTTCCTACATGAAATCAGAATTCAAATTCAGTTTTCAAGTTCCCTCCTCTCCTTTGGTTTTAGGAGTATGCTGATACAAAGGGTGTTCTTCTTGCCTCTTTACTTAGTAAGACTTACTTAAAGCCCTAAATTTTAGCACCAAATTTTAAAGTAATTGTACCTGCTATGTTAAATATGTTAGATACAATAAAGCATGCTGTCCACCAAAAAGGACACTTTCTGTGCGCTCTTATCAAAACGATGTTCCTGCGTAAACCCACTTCGGAGGACTATTATTTGAACACAGAGGTGGCGCTAGCCCTGTATCTGGGAAAGCATATGCATAAAATATTTTTACTAGACATTGTTAAAGTGAAAGTAAGACTCATTGGACTGACTAAATTAACAGAGAACTGAAGCCAAATTCACTAAAGCTAGAAGGAAAATACACTTTAAGTAGTGAGCAATTAACCCTTGAAACAAACTTAAAGTGGGAAGACTCCTTAGATCATGACAGGACACTGTTCTGGGACGCAAGACCTGCTACACTAGTTCAGATGAAAAATCCATCTGACCTGAAATACCCTCCTCCAGCAGTAGTCACTTAGGCCTGTCAGAAAGGTAAAGCTCCTCAAAATATCATTCCAGTGTTGGCAGTCAGTTGTTTAATGCCTTAAGGCAGAATCTGTATCCAGACCATAGTGCTTATGGCCATTGTGACATTACAGTAGGAAATAATGAAAGCCTAACATTAATACAGATTACAAGAAATGACCTAGTAGAAATCTAACTTCTTAAGTTAAGATCTAAAACACTGACATGTCTAATACAAAAGAAAAACCACATTCCAAAATAATGGAACTGACTGTAGGTACAGTGAAGGATTGGGCTGGGTCTTGTACTGCAAAGCATCTCCTCAAATTCTGAATACTTTTGAACTGCTAAATACACACAAGCAAGGACATTATTCCCAGAAGATCATTATTCAATACAGTATTTTTAAGTTTGACGATTGGTCCACAAAGCATCTTGTTTTACATTACCTTGATTGTTTTATCCATAGAAGCTGAGAGAAGCATGTGACTTTGTTCTCGTACAGGACACCACTGGATTTCATTAACAGGGCCGCTGTGTTTAGACATGTAAAATATTAAGCTTTTGGGGACTTCAGTTAATTTATATTTGGATCCCAAATATGGCTTAATTAATTCAGAGATCTTTCTCAAAGTCTGCTCTCCTGATGTGCCTAGCTTAACATCACAATCCGAGTTATCTCTCTGATCAGATTCTTTTTTTTCAGGCATACTGGGATCTTCTTGACGCAACCTTTTCGGGATATATGGTCTAATCCCTTTTATGGCAGTAGTACTGTCTTTATGTATTCTCTTCTGGGAAATACCATTTCCAGCGTTTGTAGAAGAGCTTGATGTCTGTTCGTAGTTTTTGTAGGACATACATAATGCAGTATGGCCAGAGTATGCTCTCCTACAGTAAGGAGGTGTCAAATCAGTGTTATTATTCTGTGCATAGTGCTGAGGGGGATCTTCACAAACAGTGCTTGTGCCAGAACCGTCAGTGTTCTCAGTAAGTTGCATTTCATATGTACATTTTGTACCCAAACTACTAGGTGCAAAGTACTGAACACGATCCACAGAAGAACTTGGAAGGCTTGTGTGTATGCTAGAAGTATTGGGGACTTCAGTCTTTTCAGTTTCTGCCTCAGAGTCTGAATCATCATAAGCAACCAGTGACGAACTCATAATGGCTAGACACAGCAGACTCCAGAAATCATTTGGAATCCTCCAAAATGATGATCTACAATAAAGAATTAATTATTCAGAGCACAATTTATTACAGAGTTTACAATCTGAGTAACTTAAGGATATAAATATGCTTTTCTTAAAAAAAAAAAATCATCCATAACTTTTATTCTTGTTTATTAATGGAATATATTCCTCTATTATAACACATCTGTACATTCAATTATGCAACACACGTACATTTTTAATGCATTGCAGAGATGCATTTACATACCACAAAACAATGAAAATGAGCATGAAAAGGAAAACAAACTTGCCACATAAGTACTGCAAATGACTTTAACCTTACTTGCAGTAGCACTTCCCCACATATACACACAAAAAGGGGTAATTAATTATGCAATGTTTTTGTATGTACATTTACAAGAATACAAATACTACAACTATTTTAGAGTCAGTTTAACAATATCTATTTCTTAACTGTACAGATGGCTTGAAAGAAGTCTGAAGGGGTTCACCCGGCAACTAAAAAAGTAAATACATTTTTGACCCATTCAGCAGTCTTGCAGTATAAGGAAATTTTCCAATTACATCCACAGAACAAGTTCCGCACTGCCTTTACTTTTACAGAACAGGCTTATGCTAGAAGCTACACTGAATTCACTGTTTGCATTTACTTACAGAAAAATAAGAGCACAGATGCCTTCTTTACTGTGGAATACTTTTTCAAAGTGTCTGTGAGAAAGAAATCTCATGCTAAGACTGTGTATGTAACATGCTGAATAACTCACCACCGTAACAATCCCACCAAGCTTCTTCCAAAAATTTGGACAGAGCATGTGGAGTATAGGGTTAACTACATTCAAACAATTGATATGTCTGCAAAAATAATCTTTCAACCTCTGCTATTTATAGTCAAAAAGTACTGCTATCCTTCAATTGCTAAGGTTGATTAAATGGGACATTTCAGTTCTGCTTTGTTTCCTTGCCCAGCTGTTAGCTCTCATCATGCTAAAGTGATTTAACCCACAGCACTTTCAGATCAGCTGCTGAAATTCTTTGGTTAGGTCAGTGAAGAAGCTGCCTTCAAAAGCATCTTGATTAAAATGAGAATGCTGTACAAAAGTCGGTATCTACTTAAGCATTTCCAGAATTGATGCCACAAATGCAGGTCCTACAAATACTACTGCAGGAGTACTACAGTGCAACTTGTAAAGATTAGTCATTTAACTTCAGAATTATATCTATTTGAATTAAAACAAGCATGTTTCATTTAACCTACAGAAGTGTTACATTACAGGCTATGGTCTGTATTCTGTAATGAAATTTCCAAGCACAGATCCAGAAGACAGGTTCCTATTAAGACATACACATTCATCATCACAGATCCTTTCCAACATAAGTTATCAAGACGTTTAACAAGGAACAAGGTAACGAACGTTTTAGCACATAAAAGCATCAAGATCTCCCTCTAGAGGACATTTTGTATTTATCTGAATTTTGTGACAGCAATTAAGAGCAAGGAAAAATTATTTTTTTAATACTACAGCTTTATTTATTAAAACCACTTTTCACTTAAACAGTGCCAAGGAAAAAAAAATAAGCAGTGTTTCAGGAAAACTTAACTAACAATTCAATTCAAAAACAGTAAATTGAAGTTTTTAGCAGTAAACTGAAACCTCTTATAAAATAAATAGTAACTTTAAAGGACTGCACTTCTATAATTGCAACAAGTGGTTACTATTTGTATTGCAGTGCTGAAAACAGGCCTCAGCCAAAATGCATCATGTTCAAAGAACAAATACAGTAAGAAGTTGGCCTCTGGCTGAAAGCTATAAATGAAGATACACAAGTGGATTGGGTTAGACTTTCAAAGTTACTTTACTTTCTTTTAACACAAAAAATTTAAGCTGAGATTCAGAGGTAAGTGCAAGACAGTGCCTTGCACACACCAGGTTAAAAAAGTTTCCTATGGGATACTGGAAAGAAACTGTCCCATTATGTTTGGTCAGCATAAATTCACCCCATTACACACGTCACCCATAAGCCTTAGTATTTTTGTAAAAACAAAGCATCTCTGTCCTCTTAAGACCTACCATTCAACTTCTGTTTTTAAAAAAACACCACCCCGAAGTTGCTAATGATGCCTTAACTAAAGAAAAATGCAGGGGGAAAAAAAAACAAACCACCATGTACTTCATTGGAAACATACTGTAACTAGACTGTGAATTGATTAACGATATGATTCACAACGTACCAAGCTACGAGGGAAACTCACAGAACTTTTGTTTTTCTTCCGTTTTCACACGACTGATTTACCTGTACCCATTAAACCAAAGAGCGTTAAGTTTGACAGGCACAACACCACACGCCCTCTAAGTGACTGTGTCAACGCAGGCGTGACGTAAAAGCTGAGCGCGGTCTCCGGCGGACCCCGGCACCGAGGCCGTTTCCTTCCCCCCTCCCCCGGCACCGGAGCCGTTGCCGCTCTCCTCCCACCCCCCGGGCACCGCCACCCCCCCCCCCGCCCCCCCCGCCCGCGCCCCGCCCCGGAACCCACTGGCCGCCCTGCCGCGGCTCCGTGTTTAAAAGCGCGCCGGGTGGAAACAAGGTGCCCCGTTCTGTGTGTCACCGTCCTTCCGCAGGGACTGGGTGTTGGGAAGGGCAGGGGTCAAGTCGCAGCTCACTGGGCGCAGTGGAGCCCTTCTTCCACCGCTGCGGGCAGTGTGGAGGGCGCTTCGTTGGGCTGTTGACTGTAGGTGGAGGGAGAGCAGGGGGAAACAATGGTTCCGGTCATATGCGTTTCCCAGCCGGGAGTCGTGAGTGACGTGCCGGCTGCGGGGTGATGCAATGGCAGTGACAGAGGAGGGGTGAGCAGAGCGGAGCTGAGCCGGGCCGGGTCGGGCAGGGCTGGGCCGGGCCGGGTCGGGCAGGGCCTTGGCGAGCGGGTGAGGGCCGGGCCGGGGATGAGGCCTGGGTGAGAGATCCCGGCGGGCGGGAGGGGGGCTGTTGTGGCCGGTGCTGGGGGCTGGGAGCGGGGGTCTCTGCGGCGCACATTTCCTCCCTCCCTTTGCGAGACGTCGATGCTCTTGAGGGTTTTTTTCCTCCACTCCGAGCGGGGCCGCAACCCCCGTGGCTATATCGCCAGCGCGTCGGGAGAGAAAGCTCTTTTCCCTGGGAAGCGGTGGAGGGGGCGAGTCCTGGCCGCTGGAAAATGCGGCCCAGCCCAGGGAGGGCAGAGCTGGCCTTGCCCTGCCCAGGCGTGCGTGTGGTAGGGAAGCGTTGCAGGGTTCCAGGGTTAGAAACGTTAGCTTGCTGGTTGATTTTATGCGTAATCGTTCCTGCACAAGAGCTTAGCCCTTAACAGCTGTAGTATAGTAAAGATTCATATTGGACTTTTGACAGATGAGAGTGGTCATATTATCATCTCAGGGAATCATTTTGCACACTTTTATTGTATTTTCATGCATAAATTGATGATTACCATGACTGGGAAGGTAGGCCCGCTATAAAATGCAGCCTGTGTTGGAGTGCATCTCAAGGCATGTTTCGCACGACATCTGTGTGCATACTACCTGCTTTAATTTCACTGTTCATTTTTTGTTTTATTTCCAGAAGGCAAAACAGTTTTCAGGAACATAAGTGCTGTTAGACTTAAATTCGTATTCTTTCATTCGTTGATGAAAATTTTTTCAGGACTTTTGTATTACTGTTGTCTTTGGAAGTCTTGATGTACCTTCATGCAATGTTTGTCATGAAAGAGCTCTTCTTAACGTAATGTGAAACCTTGTTCTTTGATTCTCAGGTCTCTAAATTACCAGATCAGATAGCAAACAGTGAAAATGATCATAGATTTGTGATTGTCATCCAACTGGAAAGAGGGAAGAATACAGTTGTTTTCTCATACCTATGCCAAGGATTACTTTTGAGCTTTGTCTCATGACAATTCAATATTCTGAAACAGTGACAAGAGCAGTACCCATTACAAGTTACCATGCGTTGTGTAGATAGAAAAGGCACACAATTCTCGGCTTTCAAGTTCACATTGTGAAAGTGAGGCTTTTAAGTTCATCTTCGACTCTGGTCCTAGATGTCCTAGTAGTCCATTCTCAAGTTCCCATGTGTCATTTTTTCCTCCAAATCTGTTTGCATATGGTATCTAATGTGTCTGGGACTGTTAGTTTTCATAATATTCGTAAGAAAGCAAGAAAAAATGTCCTGATAAAATGCAGAATATCCAGTCGTTTCTTTTAAATGGTTCACAATTGTGTTTATGAATTTCAAAAGATAAAGACCTATGTTCCATATTACTGAATTCCTGGCTTGAGTTCCACCAGTAAATAGGACAGTACTGAGGTAAACAGAGATAAGTTTTAGGTAGCAATCAATATCTTTTGCATTCTGTAATCATAATATCCTCATCTCTTGTTGCAGGGACTAGATTACTTTTGCTCCTTCGTAATGAAAATGCACCTTCCTTTGGGATTCTTTGCTCAGCTTAAATCCATATTATGGCAAACTTTTTAAAGAGTCTTTCTGTTATACTGCTTTCCAGTATGCGTGCTCAGTCTCAGCTGTGACATCTCAGCCTTTCTGAATGGAGGCAATCTATCAGGAAGAAAGTATGTTCAGGAGTTAAGTTAAAACACCGAGTCACAATTTGTTCTACACCAAAGAATAATTCCTGTTTACCTTTTTCTATTTTGTAAAATTGAAGCCAGTAAATATAACTGGTATATTCCTACAGAAAGGATGTGTGTTAATCTTCATAAACATTTTCTAATATGAATTTACTCTATATACTTTCTTTTCCAGTTAAATATCTTGTGCCCATGAAAAAGAGGAAAACACTAGTATCCAAATAAAAGAATGTAAGTAAATTGTAGGAATACATCAGCGAATTGTTTGATATGCTTCAAATTACCTCTTCAAAGTAACACTGTCAAACTGCAAATAATCAAGCTTGAAGGGATCGTGAGTAGGTTAAAAACTTAAGTATTACTGATAATACATTAGTCAGTCTTATTTTAGTCAATTATGTAATCTAAGTATGGTATCAGAGTTAATAGACTAAACAAATTAAATTAATAAGTGGATGTATACACCTCTCAGCTTTCTCAGGGTATTCAACTGAAGCTGAAATCTGGGAATATTGCAGCTGTCTGACAAACAAGACCTTAATGATAGATATGTTTTGGTAGCCAGCGAGTTATCAAAGCAACCTTCTTAAGTTTCTAGGCAGGTGAAGGCTTTTTACAGTGGCAGTTTAAATACATACCAGGTAAATATAACCAAGGTTGTGATTAGGCTGATTATTTTGTAGAAGGAAGGCTTTGAAATCTTGCTAAACAGCTAATGCAACTATTATATGCTTTTGTTTCCTCTTTTTTAATTCTGGGGAAATGGAGCCAAATGAATGTGGCTTTTTATTAATAGCTTTTATGATTCACGTCAGTTACATATGTATCTTGTAAACTCAATCTATTCATGCTTCATGCGTAGCAATGGATCAATAATATGCTAGGGAGTTTCTCCAGAGAGACATAATCCTTTGCAAGTCAGTAGGACTTTATGTGGGCACAGAGTTCTTCCTTCATGGACATGGGCACAGCATGACAGAGAATGCTTAGGGTGAATGCTGTGTTTCCAACACCCCGCTGTTTGCAACTCAGTATGAAGTTAATTTGCTCTTTCAACTTGCATTGCATTTGTCACTATCACATCTGAATACAGTGCATGTAAAATAAGCATCAGTGTATGAATTTAGATGACATCACTTTCCTCAAGAAAAAAAGTGATACAGTAGCTTGGGTGACTGCATAAATCAACCATGTCAGATTGTGAGGCAGCACTTCACAACCCTGGCCAAGTTGCAGTGATAGTTTTAATGGAAAACTTACTTTTCCCTCATTTCACTTTTGTCATTAGAATCTGCACTGTTATCTCATTTTAACAGCCTCAGGTTTTATGAAATTCTTTTATGATTCTCTATGTGCTTCTCTGTGTACCTTGTTATTGTGGTATGTTCATCCCAAATGGATTCATTGGAGATAGTTGCAGTTTCACTTAGTGTTGTTTTTCTGACAGATGGTGTCCTCCTTACCCATTTTTAACACTTATTTTCTTCTATGTAAGTCTGGCAAGCTCATTATAACAAAACTATAATGGTTTTAAAACTCTCTTCCCATGTCAAGTTAATGCTTATTTATCCTCAGTTCTGAATATTTAAACAGCATGATGCTTGAATTTTTACAAAAAAAATGATTCAGAGCATATGTACTTCTAAAGACCTCATCATTTTGTACAGAGAGCTGCTGAGCATGAATAATTTTTGAAAATAAGTATTTCTTAAAATAAGGAATTCTGTCTTTGCAGTTGAAATGAGTTTTCACTCCTGGCAGATTGATAACAGATTCACCAGATTTCTTAGACATAAATAAAACTCTATTTTTATATCAGAGATTATCTAAAGACAATTTATCAGGTAATTTTAGAAAAATTAGAGGAAGAAATTGCTGGGATACCATGAATTGCTGTGCCACCTTTGTGGGAGGTATATGTAGTAAAGTATGAGTTAATTCAATGTAATCCATGTTACAGGAGTTTCCTGTCTCGGAAATGACTAAGAGGTGTTCAAGGTACTCATTAAAATTAAGTACAGCAGAGCTTATTTATAACATTTTGTATTATAACTGATGGGACAAAGATCAAGATATTTCTGATGTAGAGTGAAAATTATTTTAATGCATTTGATAACAGAAACTGTATGCTTACTTAACATTTTGACAGCATTATTTAACTTTCTGTACTTTCTACGTTAGTGTACTGTAAACTATGCAGTTGTAGTTTTCCAAAGTCTTCGTTGCTATTAATTAATAGACCAATAAGAAATTTTCAGATGATGTTATTAATATATACAATGTTATAGATGTTAGCCTGGGAGAGAAGCCTGTTTGTGGAAGCATTGGTGTGCTCTGTGATAGGAAGCTCCAGTGATCAAGGTATACATTGGACACAGGAAGACTGCTGTGTTATTATTCTCGGCCATCTCGTCATCTTAAGCCATCTCCTAGGGTTATTTTTCCTACATACCCCTGAGAAATAATAGTTCCTTGAATTTACAGCCTATTGCTTACCCAAGGACTGATTGTTCTTTAGAAAGCAGCATTTCTCACTAATCATCAGTGTGTTTCGTAACCTCTGGAGGAAAGCTGTAAAGAAGATGACTAAGCTTTTCTCTTGTATATATTTCTTTGGGCTGAAGTACTATATTACATATATTAAGACAAAATTCCATATGATAGTTACAAAAATGTCATTATCATACATAATTTGACAGGGTATCAAGTAGTACAAAACCATTAACTAATCAGGAATCAGATAACCTCTACCAACTGTTCTGAGATGCTCTGAATTGTACATATATTTAATTACTTTTACTTTTGTCAGGAGTTTGACTTTGAAAAGGTGTTCTAGTGTTAAGTACATAGACAAAAAACTTTAAGAGTGATCTCTAAATTTGTTTGGTACTCTTGTCAGTCTCGGTCCATTTCTCTATGAAACTGAAGCTCATTGTGTTTATGTCTCCACATTTATCAGTCTGATATGAATAGAATTAGGTATGGGGTCAGTATAGTTTTTATAGTCTTATTCTGTTCATCTAATCTTCAAGGTATACACAAAAGAATAAAACACAGTATTTTTTGCCCTACAGTTCTCCTTGTTGTTGTTGCTGTTTTGACTCTACAAGCCAAAGAATTGGAAGACATTAACTTCAGTTGAATTGTAAATAAACAGATCTTTTGCATTCTGGCAAAATGGCTGATAGTCCGAACTGTGATTTGAAATCTCTGAGTCCGCTTCAGCTGTTTGAAAGAGTAACTGAACAAGGAGAGAAAGTCAGAGCACTGAAAGCAGGAAAAGCACCAAAGGTATTTCCACTTCATGTTTTCAACCCGTCATTTTTCAAGTTAGGTCTGTCTTTAAGAGCGCTGAAGAATATGATTGTTCTGAGATCTATTTTGTATTGTAGTAAGAAAAAAATTTCGTTAAAAAATATTTATGTCCATTTTGTGAACTGTGGACATACCTGGAGCAAGGTAGTTACTAGGAAGAGCAAAGTTCTTACTGCTGAAGTAAGAACAGATTCATCGGCTTAGAAGTCTGCTTCAGCCAGTTGCCATGCTACATGATGGGATCCCAGGTGTTTGGTTTTCAAGTGAAGTTTGTATCCCTTGTATTCTGCCCAGGTTTAGATTCTTTGTTAAAATCTCTTTCTCCATATATTATTGTACATGTTAGCAAATATGTCTTCCTGTAACTGTACTGGCAGTCCCTGCTTAATCTCCCTTAATTAATTTAGTAATTTGCCATTAATTTCAAGTTCCCTATTCTGTCATCACTCTGTTGGCAAAGAGAGGTCAGTTTTAATATGGACTCTCTTAGTGTATTGCCTGTGGGAGTAAGACTTGAAAACTGGGAGTCGAATAAAGTGTGAATCTGTTTATTGCTTGCATGAGATGTTACAATAGCTGTGTATTAATAAGGTCTTAACAATGAAAGTTATAAAGAAATTTTTGTTCTAGTTTGTTTTCAAGTCTGTCAATGAATTGTAATGAATCAATTATTTTAAGGTGAGCCACTAAAAGCATTGTAAAGTAAATTAGATAATAATTTATATTATATTTATATATCTTAGTAATTTGTGCTTAGAATGTTAAGCTTGTTGTACCTCTGAAAAGCAGGCAAGCATTTTTGTTTTCCTCAGCCAGAAATTGAAAAGTGAGACAGAGGTGCCTTAAATATCTTGGCAATGGTGATGCTCTAAATTCTGCCAGTTAGGAAACAGTCACCTGCTGTTTGCTTTTCTTTTACCTTTGGCAGTGATGCTGCAAACATGTAAATAAAGGCTTAGAGTTCATGAATAATGCAATTCAAGTCAAAGCATGGATGCAGGATTTTGAAGGGTTGGGACCTTAACGTATTTATGTGTCTTAAGTATGTTAAGTCAACCAGCTTTTTTTTTTTTTCCTTTATTCAGGATGAAATTGATGCAGCAGTGAGGATGCTATTATCATTAAAACTGTCATATAAAACAACAACAGGGCAAGATTATCAGGCAGGTTTGCCTCCAAGAGACCTTGTATTAATAAACAATGGTACAACTAAAGAAGAAGATGAGGATTTTGTGGACCCCTGGACTGTGCAGACATCAAATGCTAAAGGCGTGGATTATGACAAACTCATAGGTATAACTTTCATCACTGCTACTAAGAAATTTATGTCAAGTGATCCTCATGACCACAAAAACAGCAAGGGATAATAACAAATCCCAATCAAAACCATCATAGTTATCATTTAATTTATGTCTAATCTTAGCATTTACATGTCTAAAGAATTTGCTGTAGGAATTGAAAATCTCCCAGGCAGGGATCTGCTATGGGAGACTTAAATACTTTGCAAAGAACTTTTCAGTTTAAAATAAAAGTTTCACTGTTAGTTTTTTTTTTAGCATAAGAACTGTTACTAGAAGTTATGTTAATGAAGACACTGTGACTGAGTATCTGCATCTTCAGTGGCTGTGATGCAGAACAACTAGAGCCATGAGCATTCTGACTAGGCTGTAGGATTCTTCATACCATCTCTCCTCATCTGCCTTGACTTCTGAATTAGGGAGAGCAAGGATGATCCAAAACTAATGCAGAAATCTATAAGCGTAATGACTCCTTCACAAGACACACTGTCAAACAGCCAAGTGCTGGCTGGGATGAAAAAGATGCAGTGCATTTGAAAAACACGCATGTAATGGAAAATTTTTTAGACAGGGATGTTACAAAACTTGCAAAGTTTTGTAATTTAAGAAATGGGTTTAGTTAATTTCCTTATTTGTTTTTATAGCTTGTTTGAGTCTAGCATAGAAACAGGTGAGAGACCTATTCATTAATTTTTACTATTTTTGCGTTTTTGTACTCCAGTATGAAAAAGTACTCATACTTTTGTACTCCAGATGTGGCCACACCAAGGCAGAGTAGAGGGGGAGGATAACCTCCCTCAACCTGCTGGCCGCACTCTTCGTAATGCACCCCAGGATGCCATTGGTCTTCTTGGCTGCAAAGGCACATTGCTGGCTCATGGTTAACTTGTTGTCCACCAGGACTCCAAGGTCCGTCTCTGCAGAGTTGGTTTCCAGCAGGTCAACCCCTAACCTGTACTGGTGCATGGGGTTATTCCTTCCTAGGTGCAGGACCCTACACTTGCCTTTGTTGAACTTCGTTAGGTCTTCTCCACCCAACTCTCTAGCCTGTCCAGGTCTCACTGAGTCACCATTAGTGGTGGACTTGGCAGTGTTGGGTTTATGGTTAGACTCTATGATCTCAAGGGTCTTTTCCAACCTAAATGATTCTATGATTCTATGAAAAATACATGTCGGTGGGGGAGAAGGAGGAAAGATAATCATTAGAATCTAGAAATGGACAAGATCTCTTATCATCTTGTTACTTGTGTAGGAGGTACGAAGAAGGTTTTTTGTTTTCTTTGGGGAAGGGGTTCTAAGTCTTGTAGAAAAGTGGGAAGAGTAGAATACTTGTGTTGGCACAATCTCAAGGTCTTTCTGAGCATGACTGCCATGACTTCACTGTAAATCAATTCTCTGAAGCCATGCTAAAGCCTAACAGCAATGTCCTTTTTCCCAGTACCTGTGTATGTGTGTGTATATGTATGGCCTTTTCATCTACCCTCCAGTGGTGGGTTGTGCTGAAGGATTTTTACTTCTTTACACTGCTAGCAGATTGGGGAATTTGATAGATGAGTCATTTTGCTTGTTCTAAGTGATGTGTTGGAAATTTTTCAGAGAAGAATGCTAGCCTAGCCACTTCAGGAAGTGAAACAGTTACTGCTTGTTATTGATAAACTTCCTCCTCTTCCTCCCCCTTTTAAAAATAATAATAAAAAGTTTTGTCCAAGAACTTGACATCTGATAGGTCTTACTGTAAAGGAAATTTTTGTTCCACCTATAATCTGTTTATTTACTAGTGGTACCAGAGAAAGTTGCCAGTGTGTTTGTGTTTACTCGGAAGAAATGAAAGTGCTAAAAGCACCATGTAATTGAAAGGGATGTTCTTCTCAAATGGTTATCCTAGATGTGCACTTAAGTGTATGGTTACACAACAAAACAGCCTAGAGATATTCTGGGAAGAAAGGTTCTGTTAGCTAAGTACTAGATGTGAACACCCCTAGAGAATTTTTTTTTTCGCTGTTTGAGCATGAGCAAAGAGCAGAGGGATGAGTGAGAAAGGCTTTTGTATGCTAACCATGCTGATACTTCAGTGAGCTGAATATTGCCAGTGATACAAAATGGTTGAAGTTGGTGGGGATTTTTGCAGATCATCTAGTCAACTCCTGTACTCAAAGCAGAGTCAGCTAGAGCAGGTTGCTCAGGACCTTGCCTAGTAGGATTTTTAATATCTCCAAGGATGGAGATCCCACAACTTCCCTGGGCAACCTTTTCCAATATTTGACCATGTGCATGAAATGAAGGTTTTTCTATGTTTAAACGGAATTTCCTTTATTTCAAATTGTGCCCATTGCCTTTTATCCTTTCACTGGGCGTCGCTGGGAAGAGTCTGGTGCTATTTTCTTTACTCCTCCGCCCCTTCCCTAATCAGATATTTATACACATTGATAAGATCCCCCCTGAAGCTTCTCTTCCCCAAGCTCAGCAATCCCAGCTCTCTCAGCCTCTCCTCATATGACAGATGCTCTAAGCCTTTTATCTTCATGGCCCTTTGCTGGATTCACTTCAGTATGTCCATGTCCTTCCTATACTGGAGCCCAGAACTGGACCCAATGCTCCAGATGTCTCATCAGTGCTGAGTAGAGGGGAAGGATTATCTCCCTCAATGTTCTGGCAGCGCTGTTCCTAATGCAGCCCATGAGGCCATTGACCTTTCAATGACACAGAGGTGCATTGCTGGCTTATGTTCAATTCCTTGTCTACCGGGACCCTAGGATGCCAAAGTCCTTCTCTGCCAAGCTGCTTTCCAGCCAGTTGGCCTCCTGCTTGTACCAGTGCACAGAGTTATTCCTCCCCAGATTCAGGACTTTGCATTGCCTTTTGTTGAACTTCATGAGATTCTTGTCAGTCCATTTCTCCAGTCTGCTGTGGTCCCTCTGAATTGCAGCACAACCATCTGTTGTATCAGTTACCCCTCCCAGTATGATTTCATCTGCAAACTTGCTGAGGGTGCACTCTGTCCCATCATCCACACCATTAATGAAGATGTTAAAAGTATTGGCCCCAGTATCAACGCCCTGGGGTACCTGGCTAATGTTGGGCTCCAGCTGGACTTTGTGCTGCTGGCCACAACCCTTTGAGCCTGGCAGTTCAGCCAGTTTTCAGTTCACCTCACTGTCCACTTTATCTAGTCCAGACTTCATCAGTGTTCTGTGAGAATGAGATGGGAGATGGTGTCAAAAGCCTTACTGAAGTTGAGATCAACATTATCCACTGTTCTCACCTAATCTACTAGGCTAGTCATATCATGATAGAAGGCTACTAAGTTGGTCTGGCATGATTTCCCATTCATAAATGCATGCTCACTACACCCAGTGACCTTCATGTCTTAAATAATGTTTGGGAATGGTTTCCATGACTGTTTGCTCCATCACATGCCCAGGGACCAAGGTGAGGCTGACTGGCCTGTAGTTCCACAGTTCCTTCTTCAGGGTGGGAGCGACATTTGCTTTCTTCCAGCTCTGAGGAACCTCAACCAGTTGCCATGACTGTTGATTGAGATTGGCATGGTCAGTAAAGTTACTATATAACAAATAGTAGGCTATTAGTTTTCTGTATGCAAATACAACGTGGCAATGGCAAAGAGGAAAAGTACGCAATAAATTTTCAGCAAATGCAAATATGCTTTTGAAAATGGCAGCTCTCAGGACTTCTTATGTACAGCAAGTTGAAAGCTGTCTTTTGGTAAAAGCTAGAACACTAGAGATCAAAAGCAAGCCAGGAATTTTTTAAAAGCTTCTTAAAGAGTGGAGACTGTCCTTGTCAGAAGCTGTTTAGGAAGGCAGTTTCTTAGTGGATAGAGAGCATAAAATGTATTGAAGATCCCCATAAGAGGAATAAGAAGAAATAGGTAGGGAAAAAATATCCAATTTTTTAATAGGAAAGATTAAGATGGACAAAGAAAAGGGAGTTGTGCAGTCTGTGTATGTTTAATAAAGATGTTTACGCATTTCCAGTAAAGTATTCTATGTATCAGAGAGCTTTTAATCACTTTCTATGACAGTATACAAATATTTCTAGGGTGGCTAGCCCCAGTTAGTCTGGGGCATTCTCATGGTTTCTGTTTCTGTAAGATTAGCCTCTTACCAGTTGCTGTTTGTTCTGCCGAATCAAACATTTTCATGTTCACTTGGTCTCTTTTAGCATTCATCCAGATTATAATTACTTTGCCATTTTGTAATGCATTTTATTTGCTAGGAAGAAATTAATTCAGTAATTAAGGTTTCCTTAGGACAAGCAGATGTGATAACGCTTGGAAAACATACGGATTAAAGCACTGGTTGCTGAATCATGAACCAGCGTTCATCTTTTTTAGTGACATTTATTTTAATGGGTTAGTGGATGGGCCTGGTGCTTCCCTTGTACGATACCCTGCTTGATTCACCTGGAGTGAATGAACAATTGTAAGCACGAACTTGTTTCCCATTGGATAATGGTGCATAATAGGCCTACTTTTCTCTCCCGTTTAGTAATGAATTCCTACTAACTTCAAGTTTACTGACTATATACAAAGCCTTGTAGTAATGCAGTGCATAACCAGTAATTTTAGAAGAAAATGAAATGGGTACAGAGGGTCTGGAACAGCAGAAATGCTTACCTCCAAGTTGATCCTTTTCTCTCCTATCAAGATTGAGTCTTTCCTTCAGTGAGGGTTCCTGATTTTTGTTTGTGAAAGGCTGTTCAGCGAATAGTTCACAGAACAAAATAACAAATAGTTCAGTAGTTGACATAAAAAACTTACACATCCCCATTTTCAGCCAGAGTGTAGGAGAGGAACTCCCTGTACTCAGGGCTTCTCAGCATCCCAGTGCTCCAGGGTACATGCTGATCTGACTCTTCTGTCCCATCCCTCATAAATCCCTTGTGAGCACTGCAGTCTCAGTGATTAGGATGGCTATGGTTTTAAATAGTCCTTTTTGAGATGTATGCAAAGCCTTGATGGACTGAAAATAGCCTCCTTGCTGGGCTTTGAAAATCTGTGCTGTAAAGGTTTGGAAGGCCTCTTTCCTTTCCCTTTTCCAGGGAAGTGACTAGTCTAGTCTAGTATAATAAGCCCAGGGTGTCCGAATATTCAGCTTTTCAAATTATCCCAGTGTGCTCAGTACCCCTTGCTGCCCCCGTGCATTAATTTTCTTTGTAAAATAAGTTGCATTCCCAAGGCAGTACATTGGGTAACCAACACAGGTAGAGAGCTCTGCCTCCAGCTGGAATCAGTCTGTCTCTGTTGTTCAGCGGTGTTATGCCGTCCAGCTGAGGATCATTACCATGAGCTAGGATGTAACATTAGAAGCTCACCTGCTCTAGTATGAAGTTGTAGTCTTTGGAAGGACATTTCAGTTAATTACAATATCCCTGCAGGAAGGCTTTTAATTTGTTACTTGCTTTTGGCTTTAAAATGAAATTGAAAATTTAGAAGCAGGAACATGCATAAGGATGGAATTCAAAGTAAACCTGATTCTATGTGGGGTCTTCAAAGTGATTGTGGTGTTTTCCCCAGGGCAGAAGTATAGTAGTCATGTAAGTTATAGTTTAGTAGCTGCGTAATGAATGGGTTAAAGTTAATTTTTCTGTTTCTAGTTTCCTTACGAAACTCAAGATATTTGAAATTTCTCAAATGTCATGCATAAGTTCCTGTGGAATTATTATTTCCTGTTACAGCTAGGAAGACCTAAGTGCTTATCCCATGTGGGACACGTCTTATAACCAGAGAATTTGCCAGTGTAGTCTCTTTTTAATAAGATACTCAGAATAGATGGATGTAGATATTATGTACATATAAAATGTATTTTTACATCCAGAGTCTCCATTTTGTTCTCTTGAATACTTTGGCGATCCCAGTAATTAATAGTGCAAGTTGTTCTAATGCTGAATAGAGCAGAATAGTAGCAGAGTAGATTCTTGTCTAGATTTTATCAATCAAGTCCAAATCATGGAGCCATTGACCTGCTTATTAGGGTCCAAGAATTGGAATTGGAGTATAGGAAGCTTTACTGAAGAAATAAAAGATTTCCCCAGTTCAGTTTTGTTTGGGAATAGGAAAAAATACTGCTATTTCACTCTGTCAAAACCTTTCTTCAATGACTACGTCTCAAAATGCTGTTAATCAGCTGATTTCCTAAACCACCAAGTAATAAGTCTTACTTGGTTGCAATGAAGAGTATTATGCATTACCTTTTCAAGCCTCTTGAGGGGAGCAGTGTCTGTAATCACAGCCATATAAAAGAAGAATTAAGTTTGCAGAAGAGTATTTGGGGTTGAAAGGTGAAAAAACATGTGATCTGAGGGCAGAAAATTTAGATATGAAAGGAGCATTCAGAGCCTCGCAGCCAGTTTTATCCTATGGCTTACAGAGGCCAAGTTATTGACCTAAATGTGTTTCTTTGGAATGTTTTTTGTTCTGAAGATCAGTAGTCCTGCTATAAGGAAACTGCAATTATAATCAGTCAGGGATGGAGCAATACTACAGATTGTGAATAGATTGGGCCTTCTAGCATGGAGTTAGTATCAGGGGTGACTGCTGGGACTCCAGGCAAGAATCAGGAAAATTTTACATTTTACCCAAGACTTGAAGAAGGAGGTGTCCTTTTTAACGTAGGCTGAATCAGTATGTTCTTAGTAAATCCAAGATCTGGTTGTAGCTACGCTATTTTTATTTTTTTTTATTATTATTATAGTTCGGTTTGGTAGCAGTAAAATTGACACAGATCTCATCAATCGAATAGAAAGAGCTATTGGGCAAAAACCTCACCGCTTTCTACGTAGAGGAATCTTTTTTTCTCACAGGTGAGTTTTTCTTCTTTTAAAATTCAAAAAGGTCCAATTAGGTAGAATTTCTGTGAGCATTATTGGGAGAAACCTATGACCAGCAAAAGACCATGTTCTTTTACACCAAGGTAAAGCAACTGCGTCATTTGAAGTTAGCAACTACTGCAGGTTCACACTGGCAACATTTGAAACCCTTGGTTGTATCAGTTTCTGATATATCCTCACTAATCCCAAATTGAAGAAGAAATGTGGAGGGAATCTTTGCTTTGTACAGGCTCCATTTTGACTCTACATTAGCAGCCAGATGGAGGAAGTGGCCTAGCAAAGAACCCCAGGACTTATATGGTGTCGCTGCTGATTTCATCAAGGGTCCACATGGCCCATGGATGTAAGCATATGTATTGTTGCATAAAAAAGGCTCAGGGAACAATCTTAAGCGCCAGCCTGCCAGTCACCTACACTGTTTAATTGTTAGCATGCATGGGCTTTTGACCCATGGCAGGTAGCACTTTTCAAGTAAGTACCTGAGCATGATTCAGGGCGTAATTTAATTTTTCTTTGAGTGTTTTTTTTATGGAGACTGAAGGACACAATACTTTTAAATTAAATAAACAAACAAACAAAACCTTTTTATTTCTAGGACCCTTAACATACTTTATTTTATTTATAAATACATTTGGCTTTAAAAGCACTTAAATTTTGAATGGAAGTTTTCTGCTGTAGTTGTTTCTTCCTAAAGAGTTGCATCATGTTTTCTCTGTTTTTTCTTTAGAGATATGGACCAAATCCTTGATGCTTATGAAAATAAGAAGTCCTTTTACCTTTATACAGGCAGAGGGCCGTCCTCTCAGGCAATGCATGTTGGTCATCTTATCCCATTTATATTCACAAAGTAAGTTATTTTTACCATTTGTATTAATCAAAAGATTTTTTTCCTAAGGAAATGTTGAACACTGTTTATGGAACTGCCAAAATGATACATTGCAAGGAGTTCTGTTTATTTGAGGTGAATATTAATGAACTAAAACAATGCAATCTTACCTTTTCATTAAAATTACCATAATCTCTGCATCACTATAAAGCCCTTCCTTGCACCCTCAGCCCTGTGGTACTCTTCAGAATTTTTGTTCTTCTTAAAAATGAGTTTGTGATGAGACTCAATAACATTACTGTATAATGTGCCTGCAGCAGCAGGACACAGAGAAACTGGAATCAAAGAGCTAAGAAATCTCTTTGAATTCTGTTTCCATTGCAAATGGTGACAGCTATCATATGTACAGGAAACAATAAGTGTGAGTCTTTTTTCCAGGGAAGTTGTCATTATCATCTGTATAAAATGTTTAATTCTGTTCACGTAAACATAACTGCATATGCGTACAAAGAAAAGAGAAGCAGACCTCTTTATATCCTTTTGTTTAAATGTATAAAAATATTCTAGCTGCATGACTTATGACTTCATTTTAACTTACTTTGAGATAAAATCTTTCTGCTTTTATTAGGTGGCTGCAAGAAGTATTTGATGTTCCCTTAGTTATACAATTAACTGATGATGAGAAATACCTCTGGAAGGACCTGACAACTGAGAAGGCATATGAGTATGCTAAAGAAAATGCAAAAGACATCATTGCATGTGGTTTTGATGTCAATAAAACCTTCATATTTTCTGATTTAGACTATTTGGGGTAAGTATAAATTTCTTTAGGGCATTGCAATGAAAAAAAAGTGTTAGTATTTTCTCTGCAACTTTGACAGCCAGCAATGTTTTAATAAGTGTATCTAAATTTGAAAGCTTTAAGACAAGTTTGACAACAGTTAAAATAGAAACTTATTAGTTTTTCTGCTTTATAACATTTTATATATATATACTATTGTCATTCTTCTGTATAACATATGAACCAATACTTGTGTGTGCAATGTTAAATTTAAATTATGAAAAATATATTAAACCGGCTAAATTGTAAAAATACCTAAACCACCAAGAAACTACCAGATTGATTTGTTTAAGATCACATCAAAATCTTTGAGATGTGTTTACACTTTATCTGCATTAACAAAAGGCATTTCAGCAACTTGTTGTGGTTGTATTAATTCAGTAATACAGCATGAAAGATCATTATTTGAACCTTGAGTAAAGTTTAAAGAAGATTTAAGTAAAAGAAACTGCTATTGGAACTGCCTTCTCAGAAGGAAGTTTTATGGCAGAGTTCAGAACTGAAGTTGTGGGCTTTGTTCTTCCATGAAGAACAATCCCTAGCCGTTGTTCTCGTGGGAGACTTCAACTTATCAGATCTCTGCTGGAAATACAACACCGCAGAGAGGAAGCAGTCTCGGAGGTGCCTGGAGGGTGTGGAAGATAACTTCCTGACGCAGCTGGTAAGCGAGCCAACCAGGGG